AGTAGCTGCCGGATATAGTTCTGGGTCCAGGCACCCTAGAAAAGGGTGCTGGGTGGGAATTTAGGGTGTAGGGCTTAGGGTTTAGGGTTTAGGGCTTAGGGTTTAGGGTTTACCTAGACCTTGACAATCAGCTGCTCGGTAATGACAGGTGTAGGTTCGCAAATTCTTGTGTAATTTATGCTACACTTGATCCCTATTCTAGAAACGTTATAAAGCCACAGAATTTTCATTTTTATAGGGCGCCAAACACCCTAGATTAGCCGTCGCGTCTTTGTTGGCCTCTTCTCTGGGATTCGGATGCAAGCTGCCTACCTTGTTCAAGAAGCCTGTGAATGGGGCTTGCCGAAACGACTAGGTAGTATGACCCTCATGTAATACAACCTTATCATCAATAGGCACCGGCAAAACGGGGCTCTGAATTTCCGGATCCCCATGTGGAGGGTTGTCACAATTTTGTTTTGGGGGGTCAGCCTTTCTTTGGACCCAGAAGGGGGCCACAATTTTAGCAAACTACCATTACATATATATATATATATATACCTCTACTTCATAAAATAGAGTGTATACATACATATGTATGTATATACGTATAAATATACAACTAGGTAGCTTTTTTCCGGAGGTGATCCCTGGAGGAGCCGGCATCCTATCCCAAAACCGGAGGCTCTACAAGTAGGATCCTATTTGAGGAGCTGAAATAAATGCCAATATCATGGTCCTGGATTCCGCATATGTACTTAAACCCTAAACCCTAGATCCGCTATAATATCAAAAAGACCTCAGAAAGATGTCAGCAATTATGCAACTGGTAATCATGTTTTTGCCCTTGTACTGCCTTCCTGTGCTGAAACCTGACGGAGTTTGGAAAGGTGTTGTGGTCAAAGGTGTCGGCTGCCCGACATCTTGGGGTACAGCAGCATGGGCCTTTGCTAGACCTCACCCTATAATAGTAAGATGGGTAGTTCTCCAAATCATGGGCCATCTTGGGTTATATTCTATATTTCGCCACTCTATGTTTAGGGTACCACTGCCCAGATACTAACAATATAAACTACTCATATACTAATAACATACTGGGACCCTAACATAATCTTTATTTCCCCGCATTTTTATAGTCATTATCACCAGGTGGGGGGTCTACCTAGGCTAGGCCCTCTGCCGGACGGCAGTTGGAGGGCCGGCAATGTTCCACTTGACTGGAACTTGACAGTCATCAGCGCTTTACCTTGCGGCACGGGCTTTAAGTAGAACGCTTTTTGTGACGTGAGAGGTTTTAAGCCCATGAAGAGCCTCAGCCTTAGCCCTTAAACTCTGAGCCTTAAACCTAGGGTTTAGGGTTTAGGGTTATTAAGCTCTGAGCCTTAAACCCAGGGTTCATAATAGGGTTTAGGGCTATTAAGCTCTGAGCCTTAAACCTTAAGTACTACAATCTCAGACTTTAACTCCGATCCTTCAACCTCAAACCTTTAAGCCTACAACTCGCAACTTAAAACCCGAACCCCTAAGCATAAGATCCTAGGGTTTAGGGTTTAGGGTTTAGGGTTTAGGGTAGATTCTGTATGCCTGGAACTTTACGTCCCAGACCTGAAGCAATAAGCCGGATAAACCCATAAACGTAAATCCCAAACCTTAAATCCGAAACGATCTGAAGGTTTAGGGTTTAGGGCCCTAAACCCTAAACCCAAAGCTATAAGCCTTAAAGCTTGGTGACCGCCCGAGGATGGAAGAAGGCTTCGGGTCTGCAGAGAAAGAAATCGATGCTCGGTCTGAAAATGCAGGATGAGAATCCCAGGATTTATTTAGGGTTTAGGGTTTAGGGTTTAGGGTTTCGGGTTTCCGTTGTTTTTTTTGAGTGACCGCCCAATAGAGATTTCAACCCCAAAGTACTGGCTATGCTATTCTTGTCGGTATTGGGGAGGTTTCCGTAGTAAGGGATTACAATAGTACCCCCCCCCCAAAGGTAACTCCCCCAGGGTTTAAGGAGCTAATAAGGACAACGTAGGGCTTAATAAGGCCTAATAGGGTTTTAAATTTGGGGGGTACTACTGCAATCCCTTAGGTCGTGTTCAGGATTTATGGGGCAGGCCTTGCAGGCCTTAGGGTCCCAAAGCTTCCGGTTTCAACACTCGACCGCAGTTGAGGGTTTCCGGCTTCGGGTTCAGGGCTTTCGGAACGCTAGGAAGCATGGGTCAAGTGTCAATTCTTAGGGACAGTAGACGATGAGTTGAGGAAGCATTTAGCTATAGGCACGGAATTTTCTTTACAATAAAACCCCCTACCTCAAAATTTACATGCTTGGGTTTAAATTCTTCCTAGTCCCCCTACCCTAAACCCTAACCCCCCAAACCCCTAAGGTTAAGGTTGTTCATCTTTCCGTCTTTGGAAGGCCTTGCGAAACCCTCACCGAAACTGTCACAAGATGGGCTTGTAGGGATCCATTATGACCCCGATTCTGTGTGGTGGTACTTGTTACTGTAAGATACATGACCTAATCTACGGCTGAAATACATGGAATGCAGCTGGGAGGTATATCCAAAAGGTGGGGCATTCCTGATGATTCAGGCTTCTACCTCTAAACCCTAAACTGTTTAGGGTTTAGGGTTTAGGGCCCTAAACTGAACCCTAGACTGAACGCTGAACCTCTTGCATGAGTGGGAAGCATACATGCAAGCCAAGGCTAAGTAGGTAAATAGCGGGGGTAAGTGGGTTACTATATGGGTTGTAAGGGTTACGAACCTACACGGGGTATAATAGGAATACTGCAGCCCCTTAATATAATCACCATTATCCCTCATAGCCACTATTACAGGGCGTGGGGTCCTCCTAACTTATAGACTTAGAGCTTCGTGGACAGCCTTCCACCACCTTGAGCTTCTTTAGCTTCAGGAGGCATTCTGCAATGACGATAGCATGGACGCGGAGGAACGTGTCTCACTCAGATCACGGATGACTCCGGGCTTTTTCTGTGCGTGCTGGGAATAAAGGGATTGTATGGGGGGTATAAAGGTTCAGGGAGGGTTGGGGAAGTATGTTAAATATTGATGCTATTATGATCTCTAATATAGGATAAGCTTGCATGCTTCTTTCGGGCATTGTGGTTCATGGGTTTGGGACTAGAGCTTGGAGTTTGAGGTTTTTGGGATTAGCGTCACTTGTCTGCGGGCGCTTGCACAGGCCCGCCCGTCTTTGCAGCCGTTGGGACGTCTTTCACCAGTAGACCCTGAGGGCCCCTTAGGGTTTACGGCCTAGACCCTAAACCCTAAACCCTACATACCTTGAATTCTGTCAGGATCCCGAATCATACCCTAAACCCTCAATCCTGAATGCTTTGGGTCATTCCCCCTCCCAGTAACTGTCCTTAAAGGGGCCTCAGTAAGGGGGTTCTTATAACATCTTATAACTCCTATAACCCACTGTGGCAACAGTTACTGTAAGGGGGAATGACCCTAAACCCTAAACCCTAATCCTCAATTCAGGAGATTTCAGGGGTACTGAGCTCCCAAGAAACTCTGGCAGGAGCAGCCCCTTAAACGCTATTAACCCGTGAACACGGCCTAAACAGCTTTAAAGGAACCCCATTTATTCCGGGAAACTTGGGAGGTCCACGTAAACACGAACCTCTGAGTCGAAACCCCTTAGCCATAAACCCCTTAACCCGTACACCCTTAAATCCCTGAACCCCTGAACCCGGAACCCTTAAACCTTAAATCCCTAAACCCGAAAACCCGAAAACCCTAAACCCCGAACCCCTAAACCCTAAATCCCTAAACCCTATAAACCCTAAATCCCTAAACTATAAACCCTAAATCCCTAAACCCCCTAAACCTAAAACCCCCTAAACCCTAAACCCTAACCCCCCTAAACCCTAAACCTATAGCTAAGGCCAGGTAGTTAAACTTTCGATACATTAAGGTTTAACGCTTAGGGTTTAGGGTTTAGGGTTCAGAGTCTAGGGTTTAGGGATATTACATGGGTACTGCGCCACTCGATAAGACTTGAATAATGAGTATAATGTGCGTATAAAAGTTTCGCAATATCTTCATGTTGTGACTCGGTGTGGGCAGCACCCAAGACATTGCCCTAAAAGCGGAGAATCAAATGGGAGGGAATATAGAGCATGAAATGGAAACCGAGGATATATAGCGTCGAAACGTAAAACATCTTTCATGACCTTAATCTACTAAACTCCCATAGTCTCCAGCGTACAAGACAATTAGGGTTAGGGTCATGCAGGTTTTTCAGTCTCCAACCCTAAACCTTAAACCCCAAACCCCAAACCCTAAACCGAAAACAACCCTAAACCTTAAACCCTGAGCCCTCAACCCTAAACCTTGAACCTCAAACCCTAAGCCCTAAACCAAAAACCCCAAACCCTAAATCCCAAACCCTAAACCCTAAACCCCAAACCCCAAAGCCTAAACCCTAAAGGGCCCCGAGGCCTGACTTCAGACCAGTCTCCAGAAGCAGCAGAAGCAGCTTCTGATCTTCCTGCAGAAGGCAGCCCCGACGGGCCCTATTTTGGGTCTTATAGGGTTTGGGGCGTAGGGCTTAAGGTTTGAGGTTTAGGGTTTGGGGGTTTAGGGTTCAGGTGTAAGATGTGCGGTTGAGGGCTGAGCTTTTTGCGTTCGAGTTGCGGAGGTTGTGCACATGGCGGCGGTACGCCTTATTGAAGAGAACATCTCGACAACGCCTAAGGGCTTTAGCTTTTTATGCGGTTTAGGGTTTGCGGCTTGGGGTTTAGGGTTAGGGCTTAGGGACTTGTAATCGAACTACATCGGATCCTCCGGGTGGGTGCCAAACTGTGGGGCCGAGGCTGAGTATGGCTGGCAAAGGGAATGCTGTGCTTGGGGCATTCTCCTGCTGAATGCTTTAAGGGGGGGAGTACCTTTTTGGGGGTCCCTATATATAATGAGGATTATAGTATATTGGGTTCTAATCCCTTCCCCCTAATAATAAACGACGTCCCCCCCCCTCCCCCCCCCTCCCCCCCCTAATAATAAATAATCCNNTTTATTATTAGGGGGGCACATTTATTGAAAGGATTTGGTAGGGCCGCCGTTAAATTCCTTTTAAAATCAATTAAAATCGAATGAAAATCCCGTTATAGAAGCAATTGAAATTTAATTAAGATTGGTTTTGAAATCAATTCAAATTGAATTAAAATCCCGTTAGAATCAATTAATATTTAATTAAAATTCCTTTTCAATAAATTGAAATCGAATTAAACTCCCGTTAGAATCAATTAGCATTTAATTGAAATTCCTTTTAGAATCAATTGAAATCGAATTAAAATCCCGTTAGAATCAATTAAAATGTAATTAGAATTCCTTTTAAAATCAATTAGAATCGAATTAAAATCACGTTAGAATCAATTGAAATTTAATTAGAATTCTTTTTAAGATCAATTGAAATCGAATTAAAATCCTGTTTAAAATCAATTAACATCGAATTAAAATCACGTTAGAATCAATCGAAATTCCTTTTAGAATCAATTAAATGGAATTAAAATCCCGTTAGAATCAATTGAAATTTTATTAACACTCCTTTTAGAATCAATTGAAATCGAATGAGATTCAATTGAGATTTAGTAAATGTATGGCTAAAACTGTAATAGAATCATTTAAAGTCGCATTCAGTTCTTGTATATCGAATCCTTTATAAAACCATATGAAAATGAACCAAAACCTAGGATGTCAAGGGGATCCCTAATTCCTTAGGATTTTCTATTATACCCCCCTAATGACCTCAAAACCCCCCTTAATTCATTATGGTCTGGCTCCTTTTAAATTAGTACAGCCCCTTTTAAAATGCTCATGAGGATTTTTTTAGGGCCCTGGATTTATTATTTATTATTAGGGTGGGTTTTATTAATATGGGGAAGGGATTATATTGGGTCTAGCTATTTAGGGAAACTGTCGCAAAGTGCTGTTTTGCAGCAGGAGCGTCTTCTGATAAAGGGTTTCCAGAAATTTGGGGTCTCTGGTTGTGAGCCCCTCGATAATTAGGGACTCATTACGGTAGTTTGGAGTATATAAGTCGGACCCCTATGTTGGCAATAGTCGCATCCATGACTGGGTCTAGATTGCCTTGCTCCTGAAATTGTAAATCCTTTCTCTTTTGGGACATGGGGATTGGTCTAAATTC